CACGGCAGGCTTCGGGGTCGGCCTCCTGTAGATACAGGTTCAGCGGGGCCACGCGACGTTCGGCGTAGCAGTGTTTGATTACCACACGATCGCCGCGGAGGAAGACCGTTTCGGCGGCCACTTCCAACAGCTTGTCGAGCAGGTCGTCGGAGAACAAGTGCCGGGCGAGTTCCATGTAGTGGTACTCTTGGGCGTCCATCAATCGCCCTGCCCTGTCGTGCCGGAACACCAGGTGATATTGATCGATAACCGACTGCCGGGTGCAGGTCTTGGGGGCGTCGAAGCGATCTTTGATGATCTTGAACACCACCGGGTACGAGGGCATGGTGAACACAGTCATCACCATGCCGCGCTGGCCGCGGGCGAGAATGTATTTGTCGTCGGTTTTGCGCAGGTGCCGCATCGCGTTGCGGAACAACTCGGTCTTGCCGTGGCGGTTGTAGCCGATCGAAATGTAGATTTCGGCCGAGCGCTTCCGCGGGATGATCGTCTTGATGAACCGCACTAGCTCGTAGGGGCGATCGACCTTCACGTGGAAGTACGAACGCGTGAAGCTGAACAATAGGCTGATGTCGTTCTCTTCGGTGAGTATCGCGTCGACAACGATGCCTTGTTCTTCGGTGTTGCGGAGGCAAATGGCCAACGGAATGACCTGCCCCATGCTGTGGATGCGCCCGATCAGATAGGCGTATTCGCCGCGATAGAAGATCGAGCGGATCATCTCCAGCCGTTCGGCGATTGCCCCAGGCCCGAACTGTTTCAGCCGCTGCTGGATGGCCGTTACCGCACGCGGTACCTCGCGGGCGAGCGTTTCGGCGGAAAGCGTAAGCTCCAGATCGCCCAACACCTGGGAGACGAGCGAGTCGATGGAATCGCCCCGTTCGTAGGTGTGGTAAGCCAGGTGCTTGGCCGGGTTGGGTGGGCTCTCGTAGTCGGTATCGACGAACTCGATTTCGTTATCGACACCCACGGTGGTGAAGATGCGTCGCGTGACCGAGTTGAAAAAGGTCTCGGCGATTTCCCAATCGTCGCGATCGTCGATGAGGCCCGAGTAGACCGCCTTGATTGCCATCCAGACGGGCCGCGAGTGGGTCCGCTCTTCGAGCAGCTCGTGAATGCGTTCGACGATTTGGTTGACGGCGGTGGTGTAGACTTCGAGCCGCTCGGTGCTGTCGGTCTGCATGCCATGCCAGTCGCGAGTTTCGAACCGTTTGCGGGCCCGACTGGTGATGGTCTTGAAGTTGTTTTGGTATTGCTCGAAGGCCCGTCGCATGGCGCGACTGATGGTGTTGACCAAACGGCTGGTGGTGACCTGTTGCGGCATGAGCCGACCTGTGGAAGTTTCTTACGCGATGAGCACAGCTAGAAGAGACGCAGGCGACCGATTCCGAATTAAGTCTGCCGTCGAACGCTCCAGTCTAGCCAAGCCCGGCAGCACCCGCCAGCCGCGGAAATGGGCGAAAATGACGCAGGCAGAGCGGCGGGATTGGTGCTTGAGCGAAGGGGCGTAGGCTTTAAGAGCGGTTTGTGAGGGCAAACGATCGTAGGCGAGTCGGGTGGCGACATCCAGCTCTTCGGGCGCCGCGGAGCTTACGCACGGTCGTCGTTAGAAGTTGCCGGCCAGCTAGAATTTCTTGGAGGGGCTTCTCTGGGTTTTCAAACCGGTGGCGTGGAGTTTCTCTTGGAGCTTCTTGGCGCCCTTGCCGATCTGGCTTGGAAAGCCCGAAATTTGAGGGGTCGAATCTGCTAGCGTTGAATTGGAATTCGGCGAACGGATAAACCTGCATTGGTGGGATGTGGGGCTTCGCGTACGATTTGGAATCGCCGGATTTAGGAGTCGCATGGAGATGGTTTCGTGGTGAAAGCGTTCGATCAGATTCACGAGCAGCTGAACCCGTTGCGGAAGTCGCTGCTGGAGCACTCGCTGTACGCGCACATCGATTGCCTGGAGGCGCTGCACTTCTTCATGCAACACCATGTGTTCGCGGTATGGGATTTCATGTCGCTGCTGAAGACGTTGCAGCAACGGTTATGTCACAACCGTGTGCCGTGGCTTCCGCCGGAGAGCCGACAGGGTTGCCGGATGGTGAACGAGATCGTGCTGGCAGAGGAAAGCGATGAAGACGGCGAGGGTGGGTTTGCCAGCCACTTCGAGTTGTATCATCAGGCGATGCAAACCTGCGGGGCCGACACGAGTGTGATCGATCGTTTCCTGGAAGAACTGCGAGCCGGGCGGAGTGTGCAACAGGCCCTTGTCGATGCCGATGCCCCGATTGCGGTGCGGAGTTTCGTTTCGCAAACATTCCAGGTGATCGAGGGCGGCGACTTGTGTGCCATCGCTTCGGCATTCACTTTTGGGCGGGAAGAGTTACTGCCGGAGTTGTTTCGGCAGATCGTCAATCAGTTGAGCCTCGATCCCTCGGCCGGGCTGGACCGCTTCAAGTTCTACCTCGAGCGGCACATCGACCTTGACGGTGACGAGCATGGACCGATGGCGGAACAGCTCGTCAATTTTCTCTGTGGCGATAGTGAGACTAACCGCATGATCGCCGAACGGGCGGCCGTCGATGCGCTCGAGTCGCGGTTGCAACTATGGAACAGTGTGGGGGAAACCCTGGCCAGCTTGTCGCAGTCTTCATGAGTGGTTAGAGCGACCACTTCCATATCGCAGCGACGCTAACGATGCGCTATTCTGTTTACGGCGGCGTTTGCTAAATCCGTGACAGTTTTGCTGGAAACGGCCATACTGAGTGGTGTCTGGCTCGATACTCATCGAGCGAAGCTTACGGAATAGAGAGCATCTCTGAGTTCCAGCGATGGAGGTGTCGCCATGCGCCGGTTGCTTCCGATTCTCGCCACATTGATTCTGTGCGGCTGCGGGCCGACTGAAACCAGCATGGAGGCCCACAAACCGATTGCGGACAGGATGCTGTCGGCACCTGTGATCGATGTCTACGAAGGGGTTTCTCGGCCGAGGTATTCAGGAAATCCTTTTCCTTGGGAGCGTGATACTGAAGAGGCTACGGTGAAATTCGGTGACTATGAATTTTATGAACCGCCGCTGGATGTTTCGGTCGAAGACAAGGCAGAGCTGACGAGACTATTTAGCGACGTTACGATGGTACGCCCGATCGATCTGACGGTGGTGTCATCGTGTTGTGGTTTTCATGCCGACTATTGCCTTGCTTGGAAGTCCCGGTCTGACACTTTCTATGTGTTGCTTAGTCTGAGATCGGGCGATATTAGAGCGGCCGGGGGTGACTTGGAGTTGTCGATGGAATGCGACAATGGTTCGCAAGAAAGGTTGCTTGACGTCTTGCGGCCTTATCGACGTCATGTAGACGAGTATGAGGAGGAGGTTAGCACCACGGTCGAGCCTGCGGACTTTCCGGATCCTTTTGGTGAGTACAAGCGGTACGGGGGATAGGCCGCTTCTTCTAGAGATACAGCCGGTTCGCCTGGTGGAGAGCGCTGGTTGCGCATCTACGCCAACTCTGCCGACACACTCAAAGTATTCTCATAAAATGTTGGGTTCGCTGTCCCCTTTAGGGCTCCTATGTAGATGTTACTTATAGGACTCCCGGTTTTCTGACTGGGATGCCACCGCCTGCATGGGTCCCCTGAAGCGTCAACGACATCTGTCAAAGTGCCCCTGCGATAGATGTGCTCCTCCCCATGCAGGCGATGGGATGTCAGTCGGGTGGGGAATTTGCACTCACCACATGGACTTATGGTGAACCCGCAAGATCGTGCGGGAACCCGCATAACTTTGCGGGGTTCCGTAATTGCAATTGCGGTTCCCGATTGGAAAACTGAGTACTGGATGGCTCTCCCGCCTTGCTAGGGCATTGAGCCACAACGGGCAGGCTTTTCACGCGGATCGATTGAGCCATCCGCATGAAGTGTCGCGATGTCGCCACTTCAGCAACAAACCAAATACAAGGTGGGGCAGGTTTGTGGGGCAGGATCGCCCGGCGGCCCAGCCAGCACAGGCTGGGTCGCCGTTGGCGTTAAATATCGCCAGAGATCATTGCTGCCCTTTAGGGTTGGCCGGTCCTGGCAGTCGCTTTGCCGCTCTTCGGCAGCTTGACTAACAGTTGCACTTTTCCAGGCTCGGAATCGGACGTCTTGAGCGTGAAAAGTTCGAGTGGCTTGCCCCTTGGATAGTCTCCCGAATCGATCTGGATATTTAGATACTGATCAATGTCCGTGGAATGCTTTGGTTTGACTTGGAGCGAGTGCCGTTCACCATAGCCCCCGTTTTCTATCGAAACATTGACGTCTATCACTGCATAGTCCCTCACATCACTTACTCCGAGCGGCGCGATGAAGGCGGCAATGGTGAAAGTCGTCCGCCACGGCCCACCACGTCGTTTTTGTGAGAGGCTTACATAAGGTATTGAGTGTTTGATCTCATTGTTCGCTAACAGTTCCAGGTCTGGTTCCTCATTCGCCTCCAATGTCACTTCGCGCACCACGAGGTCATTCCTATTGATGACCTCTTTAACCTGCACACGAAACATGTCGTCGGGCACCGGTTCAAGTTCCCGGAGCAGACCGTGCGCTTCGAGCACCGATTGGGCACGTTGCAGCCGCTGCTGCTGTTGCCAAAGGGTGAATCCAACGCCGATGATGAAGACAGCCAACAGCAGTATCCGGATCGAAAAGCGGAATGAGCGCCGTAGCCGACTTGCCCCGTCGGTGTCGATTAAGTGAGTGTCGGTTGTGGCTCCCATGGCGGGATTGTCTGAGATGGGAGCCCGCGAAGCAAAAAACGACCGCCCGGCGAGCATGCCAAGCGGTCGTCTTCGCGTTTGAGGGGTGGCTGAGGGGACTTGAACCCCCGGCCCCCAGATCCACAATCTGGTGCTCTAACCAACTGAGCTACAGCCACCACTGAGAAATCGGGCCTCACGAAGCTAGCGGGCTGCCGACGATTGTTCGCCAACGATGCCGCCGAGTGGGTCCGAAGTAATGAAATATAGGGTCCCCCTGGCTGGATGGTCAACCTGCCGGCACATAACTACTTTGCTTGCTTGACGTATCGAGAGCGGGGGTCGACAATCAAGGGTTGCATTCGCGGCTCGTTTCAGGGCCGTTTCTCTCCGCCGAATTGCGCGGCCGACGTGTGTGTCGAGGAGCCCTAGAACATGAGTACGATCGAACAAGCCGGGTTGTATCAAGAACAAACAGGCAGAGTTACCTCGCAGGACGAGATCGACCGCTGCCTGGAAGCGTTGGCCGAGGGCAAGTCGAAGCTCCCGCAGACGTCGATTCCCCGGTTGATCGAACTGGCCCAAGCCTCGCTCGAAGGCACGATGGCCGAGTCGGAAGAGTGGATCCGCCTGGCCTGCGAGGCCAAAGGTCTGAAACCCGGCACCGCCCAAGAAGCTGAAGACATCTCCAACGGGGTGTTGGGTACGGTCCGCTACCTGCGGCTAATTATCAACTCGCTCTCCGACATCGAGAAGTACGGCGCACCGCAGCTCCCCGGCGAGGTGGTGACCGGCCCCAATGGGAAACTGCGAGTGCAGGTGATGCCGACCAAGGGCATGTTCGACTCGATCGCCTTCAGTGGGTTTAAGGCTCACATCTGGATGAAGGATGGGGTCACCCGCGAGAACCTGCCGCAGCACATTGCCAGCTACTATCGCAATGGACGGCAAGGCGAAGGCATCGCCCTGGTGCTGGGCGCCGGCAATGTGTCGAGCATCCCGCCGACGGACGCCTTCACGAAGATCTTCCAGGAAGGCACGGTCGTGCTGCTGAAGATGAACCCGGTGAACGAGTACCTGGGCCCGATGTTCGAACGGGCGTACTCGGCACTGATCGAAGCTGGGTTCCTGCGAATCATTTATGGTGGCGCTGAGGTGGGAGCGTACTCCACGCATCACGATTTGGTGGACGAAGTGCACATCACCGGTTCGGTGCACTCGCACGACACGATCGTGTGGGGCCCACCCGGTCCCGAGCGCGATCGCCGCAAGGCCGACAACGATCCGTTGTTGAAGAAGCCGATCTCCAGCGAGCTGGGCAACGTTTCGCCTTGGATTGTGGTGCCTGGAAATTACAGCGACGCACAACTGAAGTTTCAGGCTGAAAACCTGGCGATGTCGATCTTGAACAACTGCTCGTTCAACTGCGTGGCGACGAAGGTGATTGTGACGCACAAAGACTGGCCGCAGCGGCAGCAGTTTCTCGACTACGTGCAAGACGTGCTCGATGCCAACCCGCCGCGGAAGGCCTATTACCCGGGGGCCGAAGAGCGGTTCCGCCGCTTCACCGGCGAAGAGCCTGAGGGTTGCCCGACCGGAACCCTGCCCTGGACGCTGAAGCGGGATGTCGACCCCAACCAGGGCGGACAGTACTTCGAAGAAGAGTCGTTCGTCTGCGTGAGTGTCGAAACAGGTCTGGAAGCTTCGGACGGGAAAGACTTCCTGAAGAAGGCGGCCGACTTCGCCAACAATCGCTTGTTCGGCACGCTGGGGGCCACCGTGATCGTGCATCCCAGCTTCCAGAAAGACGCCACCACCGGGCCAGCCTTCGATGCGTTCGTTTCCGAACTGAACTACGGCACGGTGGGTATCAATCACTGGTGTGCCTTGGCCTATGGGATGATGACCACGCCCTGGGGCGGATACCCTGGCGGTTCGATTCACGACCCCGTCAGCGGCATCGGTTGGGTGCACAATACCTACATGCTCGATAACGACAAGATCGAAAAGGGCGTGATGGAAGGCCCGATTACGGTCTTCCCCAAGCCGGCGTGGTTCCCCTCGTGCAAGAACGCCCACAACGTGACACGGGGGGCGGTCCGCCTTTCGGAGAAGCCCTCGCTGATGCGGTTGGGCGGTGTGATTCTTTCGGCCCTGAAGGGTTAGGTACGGATCTGAGCTGGCACTCTGAAAGTCGCGAAGAGGTGTATTGGGGGACACGGTTGGCTTGCTCAACCGTGAAGTCAGCACTGCTGGACAAGCCAGCAGTGGCACCCACGCAACTAAGTCTCACAGAGCGCTAGTGCTTCTTAAGGAACGGTTCTCAGACCTTTGGGTCGAGCGAGTGCATGAATTACGAGCAGTGGCGGTCGGTATTGAAGGACGAACGACTGCCTGCCGTGGTGGTCGATGTGGCTGCGTTCGATCGCAACGTGGCGCTGATTGCCGAGATCGTCCGCCGGGGTGGGCACGGGCACCACTTGCGTTTGGCCACCAAGAGCGTCCGCGTGCCGGCGCTGATTCAGCGGATCCTCGATTTCGGCGAGCCGTATCGGGGGCTGATGTGTTACGCGGTGGAAGAAGTGAGCTTCCTGGCCGAGCAGGGCTTCGAAGATTTCTTAGTGGCCTACCCCAGTGTGCAGCCCAGCGATTGCGCCAAGCTGGTGGAACTGAAAGCCGCTGGGAAAACGGTTCGCCTGGTGCTCGATTCGATCGAACAGATCGAGATGGTTTCCGGCGCGAACCCCGACGATGAGCATCCGCTGGATGTGGTGCTCGATGTCGATATGTCGCTGCGGATGCTGGGTGGGCATTTGCATTTAGGCGTGCGGCGTTCTCCCCTGCGGTCGGTGAAGGAGGTGTTCGCACTCTGCGAAGGAGCCACGCGTTACCCGGGCGTGCGGATTGTGGGGCTGATGGGCTACGAGGCCCAAGTGGCAGGGCTGGGGGATCGCAACCCGTTCAAACGGATGATCAACCCCGTGGCAGGCGTGATTCGCAATCGCTCGAAGAAAGGCGTGGCCGAGTTACGCAAGCAGTTGGCCGAAGGTTTCGAACACCGCGGACTCGACTTGCAGTTGTTCAACGGTGGCGGAACCGGTTCGGTCAACTTCACGGTTCATGAACCCTGGCTGACCGAGCTAACTGCGGGCTCGGGTTTCTTGTGCTCGCACCTGTTCGATTACTACTCGAACATTCACCCCGAGCCGGCCTGTTTCTTCGCACTGCAAACCACGCGCAGTTCCGACGATGGGTATATCACTTGCGCCGGCGGTGGATTCATCGCCTCGGGTGAGCCGGGCTGGGACAAAGTGCCGCGGCCCTACTTGCCGAAGGGTCTGCAGTTGGTGACGACCGAGGGTTGCGGCGAAGTACAAACTCCGCTACGAATGCCCAGCAATGGCACTGTGGAACTCGGGCGACACATTCAACTGGGCGATCCGGTGTTGTTCCGCCACGCCAAAGCGGGCGAACTGGCCGAGCACTTCCAAGAGTATCTGCTGGTGAAAGACGCCGCGATCGTCGAGCGCGTGCCCACCTATCGCGGCTTAGGTTGCTGCTTCCTCTGAGTCGCTCACTACCGGCTTCGGTGCCGAGCGTTGATCGACATCTTCGGTGTAGACGGTGACCTCGTACTGAATAATCTCCAGCGGAGTTTGGCCCTTGTAGTTCTTCCCCTTGCGGCCTGAGAAGTAGAGCGACATCACGAGCCCCTTCAGCCCCGTTTGCAACAACCGCAGCAAATTGCCGGGAGGGCCGGGCACTTTCGGGGCGTATTCCAGGAAGCTCACTAGCCAGCGAACTTTGAACTGCGGTGTCCATCGCAGCAGACCCAACAGCGTGATGAGGGCCTTGCGGTCGTCCTCGGGAAGGAATTCCAACACTTCGTCGGCAACCTCGGCGCAGCCCAATTCTTCGAACGACGGGAACTCATCGTTGCCGGGGGCAAACACGTTGCCCAGCTTGACGAGTCCTCGAAACTGACCGGCGTTAAGGTATTCGGTTTGGTTGGCCATCGAACGAATGGGGTCTAAGGGGTCGAACGGGTGGTTTAGCTTTCCAGCAGTTTCTTACTCGCCAGGTAGCTGAGTGCCATGATGGTGAACGAAGGATTGATGCCGGGCGCCGAGGGGAAGATGCTCGAGTCGGCCGCGATCAACTTCGGATGCCCATGCACTTGAAAGTCGGGATCGACCACCGAAGTATTCGCATCGGCTCCAATCGGGCAGCCGCCCATCAAGTGCAGGCCGAACTCTTGTTCGCAGTGGATGACTTCCTTCGCACCCACCGCATGATGCATTTCGGTGGCGATTTCGAGTCCTTTTTTCACCTTGGCCCGATCGGCGGCGGTCAGCGTCTTCGCCCGGATGAGGTTTCCTTTGCGGTCGATCTTCAACTCGCCGGCCGGATCGTCGCGGATCACCACTTCCATGCCCGAGAAGTAGCGGTACTTCTTCATCAGCTCGACGTGTTGCATGCCCACGCCGGGCAATAACATGCTGGTGGCGATCGGCGGGGCGAACACGTTTTCCAGCTTGAGCCCTGCCTTGCGAAGTTTGTCGTCGTGCGATTCGACCGATTGCAGCGGGCCTTTGTGCGAGCCGACCGTATCGGCGTGGATGCCGTAGGTCATTCGCTGTGGATGACAGGCGAAGCGAGTGCCCAAGGCCGGCAGCTTGCGGCCGATTTCCTGGCAGCGGTGCAGTAGCGTGGTGTTGCCGAACGAACCGCAGGCCAGCACCGCGCGGGCGGCTTCCACTTCGCGGCGTTGGCCGCGCTGGGTGCCGTGGATTTTTACGGTGGGGCCGGAGTCATCGAGAGCGTCGACCGCGAATTCGGTTTCGATCTTCAGGCCCTGCTTTTTGGCCGTGGGGATCAGCGTGACAACGGCGCTTTGTTTCGAATCGCGAGGGCACCCGCCGAGACAGACGATGCAGTCGCTCCCCTTGTCGAACTTGCAATCGCTTTGGGCTCTCACGATGGGGGCCCAACCGTAACCGCACTTCTCGAACGACTCGGTGAAGAGTTGGGCGTTGCGGTTGTAGTGCTCGGTGGGGATCTTGTTCGAAACGAGCCGCGAATCGAGATGATCGTACAGCGGGCTCATCTCGGGCGTGTTGAAGTAATCGATGCCGCTGCGGTCGCGCCAGTCGTCCCAGGCCAGGTCGTCGAAGCGATTCAAGTCGGCCTGATTCACGACCGAAGTTCCGCCGAGACACTTTCCGCGAAGAAAGCCGAGCCGTCCGTCTTGGCTCACTTCGATGCCGCCGCCCCAGAACATGCGGCCCGTGTATCCCAATTCGTCGGGCGGATAGTTGGTGCGGTCGTAGACCTTGCCGGCTTCGATCATCAGGCAGGTGGCCCCGCCGGCGGTAAGTTCGTAGGCTATTCGTGCCCCGGAAACGCCGGAGCCAATGATTGCAAAGTCGTACATCGCCGCGCCGTGGGAAAAATGAAAAGATCGGCAACAAGCAGGGCCTGCTCAGTGTTGACGAAGCGAAGCACCGCGTCAACTAGAGTGGAGCAAACCATCGTGATCCTCGAAGCGAAGCCGTCACCATGAATCGCGACAGCGAGACATTTCAACCCAGCAGCGGTGCGACACTCGCGCGGCAGGTCGGCGTGTTCGGGGCCACGATGATGGGCCTGGGCTCGATCCTCGGCACCGGCATCTTCATCAGTATCGCGGTGGCGGCCGATGTGGCAGGCCCGGCAGTGTTGCTGGCCATTGTTGTGGCTGCGGTCGTAGCGACGTGCAATGCACTGAGCAGCGCTCAACTGGCGGCCAATCATCCGGTGAGTGGCGGAACCTACGAATACGGCTATCGCTGGTTGACCCCGAGCCTGGGGTTTTTGGCCGGGTGGATGTTCCTTTGTGCGAAGTCGGCCTCGGCCGCGACGGCGGGGTTGGGTTTCGCCGGGTATACCTTGCGGGCGCTGAACGTTTCGGCCTCCGCGGCAACGGTTCCCTTGGCTGTGGGTGCCGCTGTGGTGCTAACGTTGCTGGTGCTCTCGGGCATTCGCCGCACCAACGCGGTGAACATCGGCATCGTCTCGCTGACGGTACTTTCGCTGCTGATCTTCGCGGTGGCCGGCATTCCGTCGGCCGTGCAGCATGGGGGCGAAAACCTTTTCCCGTTCTTTCAAATACCCGGGGAGGGTTCATCGCCGATCGCAGGGCTGCTGGAAGCCTGCGCGTTAATGTTTGTCGCGTATACCGGCTACGGGCGTATTGCCACGCTCGGAGAGGAAATTCACGAGCCCCGGCGGAACATCCCTTTGGCGATTGTCTCCACGCTACTGGTTTCCGCTGCGGTTTACATCTGTGTGGGGCTGGTGGCGATCGCGAGTGTGGGGAGCATCGTTTTGGCCGAAGCAACTCGAGGGCAGGCCGCACCGCTGGAAGTTGTCGCACAGGCGATTGATGTGCCGGGCGTTGCCATTGTGGTTGCCGTCGGGGCGATCTTCGCGATGTTGGGGGTGTTGCTAAACCTCGTGCTGGGGTTGTCGCGGGTGTTGTTCGCCATGGCGCGGCGGGGCGATATGCCGAGGATGTTTGCGAAGGTGCAGGAGTCGACTTCAACGCCGGCGTTGGCCGTGATTGCGGTCGGCGTGGCGATTGCCCTGCTGAGCCTGCTGGGTAGTGTGAAGACGACCTGGAGCTTCAGCGCATTTACGGTGTTGATCTACTACGCGTTGACCAACCTTTCGGCCATTCGCCTGAGCGAGGCGGAACGGTTATATCCCCGATTCATCCCTTGGGTCGGGTTGTGTTCGTGCTTGTTCCTGGCGTTTTGGGTTGAACCAGTCGTGTGGATGGCTGGCTTAGGGGTGATTGCCGTGGGGTTTGTCGCACGGTTTGTTGCACATCGTGTGAGTGGGTTGCGAGAATGACGCTCGCGGTGGACCTGTCGCGTTTGCAGTGAAATCAAGAGTGAACACGTTCGGAAACGTCTCACTGCTGGACAAGCCAGCAGTGGCACCCACGCAGAGATCAGCTTTTTCACAACGTCCGACCAGATAAAGGAACCGACCATGCTTCTCGATCGCGTGTTGCGAACCCATGCACCGGCGTCGGTGTTTTTGATTCGCTTGATGGTGGGGATGGTGTTTCTCTCGGAGGGGATTCAGAAGTTCATTGATCCGGCCAACCGAGGCGGCGGGCG